AGATTGAATATGAATGGCATGATTCAACTGGTAAATGTGTGTTATATATTTTGCTAAGAAATCATAAAGCACAGGAGAGAGATCTTACTTGGTGACACATATAATCATATTTTATGAAATCAGAAAGTCTTTAGTTTATTGGATATGGCCAAGTATTATGTACTTGCAATGATAAAAAAGCCCACATAAGTGGCTGTGACTCAGATCAAATGTTTAAGATGGATCTAAAGCACTCAACTTACAATTCACAAGAAATACACAGGAGACATGAACAAGTTAAATGATACTATGAAGAAATAATCAAACAGATTTGGAATATAGGACATGATACAAAGCAACTGGCCTGGACCCTGTTTTAAAAGTTCAATGACAAGGAAAAGAAAATGTGTGAGTGTTGAGGGGAGGGGAGTACTGGGGAGAACGCAGTTCTAAATTATGAGAGACTAAAGAGACACCAAAAAACTCAGCTATGCAATATATAACATAAAATATGTTTGGGTAACAAATGAAGAAATTTGTATATGGTCTAGGTATTAGATAATATTATAGAATTATTGTTAATTTTCTTGGATGTGTTAATGATCTGATTATGTAGTGAAATGCCCTGTTTTTAGGACAGATAGCTGAATATTTAGGAAAGAGTATGATGGTCTGCAACTTATTTTGAAATGGATTCAGCAAACATACATACACACACGCACACAAGCTTCCATGGCAAAATATTAACAATTGTTGAATCTAGACGGTAGGTACATGAGTGATATGAGTATCCATTGTATTTTTCTTTCAAATTTCCATACATTTGAAAAGGCTTATAATAAAAAGTTGGAAAAAACAAAAATTATTTAACCATTTATAATAAAAGACAAGTCCTTTTAGAATTTTTTTAAAAAGATCTAAAGAAATTCTCTATTAAAGATACAGAGCTAAGCTCAAAAATAAACTAGCACTCTTTACAAAGAATGTCATTTAGCCTATTACTAAATAAAATGCCAAGAAAATAATGGTAATCATCCTTAAGACATAGGCAGTTAGCCTTATAATACCAATTATCTTTGTTTCTAAATATTATGTATGTTTTCAGGATAAATAAGGATGCTAATGGCTTAGAGCACTACACAACTTTAAGCTCATAGAGGTCAGAATATTTTTAATTATTTTCAATATCATAGACATCCAACCTTTACATAAATTTTAGATAGGAGTCAAATGACAGCATAAAATCTAACAATCTTTGTAAGCAGAATGACTGAGTAAATATTTTACTATTTTGCTAACATAGCTCATAAATTAGTTGAATTTACCTGAGTAAGTGTGGATCTCACTGAAATTGTATCTTGGCATCTCTGTAATACTGGGTTAAGTGAAAAAGGCTTCCCAGAGGATGTGGCTTTTTTACAGCCCAGGCCAAAGAAACAAACTTAGTAGCAAATTGGTCTACCTGTTAAATATAAGAGTGAAACATTGAGCTGAAGAAATAGCTGTTAATGTTGTGCAATGGTGATAAAATTTACTCCCTTAATATCTGGCACTGACATTTAGTAAGCAATGTGGTTAGGGATGTTACTTAGTAATTCAGGGGATTTTGACAAAATAGAATGATAATTAAATAATTTAAAATAAGGTTTATGCATCAACTATGTCATGTGCTATGACCTAAATTAGCATGACAGGTTTAAAATTAAATAATTGATATTAAATAATGTTAATTATCCTTGCTCTTCACTCTAAAATTAATACTCACCTTTTTTTTTCTATTTGTCTTGTTTTTATTCTCCCACCCTGTATACTTTTCTCTTCCCTTTACTTTTTCCCTTCACTTCAAATATATGTTTTGAAAATCTTTCGTGATATCCTATGGTTTCCAACAAAGCCTGGAAACACTGACAAGTACTGAGTCATGGTACCTCCATCATATTCTCAAAACCAGTCTATCACTGCAGCTTCAGCTTGTATGAGAACTCCCATAACTGCCAACCCCTTCTCAAGTGCCTTGATGATCCAGGTCTGCTTTGAAACCCACCATGAGTAGTATATGAGATTCTTCAGGATGGTTGGGAAGAGAAGACCTGGATCTTATGACAACCTAATATTACATATTAGCTTTGCAGTTACCTTCAACTGAATGTAGATTTCCACCTTCATGCAGAAGTCCGCCTTTCAGTCTTCCGCATTCAGAGACCTTATGCTGATGACAGCTTCTTAGGAGGAATGTTCATATTTTTCTGAAAATCTAAAACACAAGAAAAAGGAATTGTTGTTGGGTGCCAAGTAAAGAACTCTTTAAAAAATCCCTACAGTAACAGAAAGTCATTGTTTCCTGCCATATTGAGAGGTAGAACTCAACAGCAGTAAGCACTTGCATTAATATAGCATTCTGATCTCTTGAAAAGAAAGTTTCCCTTTCTAGAATTGGTTAGTTAAAATTGAGGTAAAGGCCACCTGAGGGGAAACTTCTGCACAGCAACTCATTTCTTCTACTGGAAGATGTCAAAAGTAGAAACTGGTCAGTCATAGTGAGACTGCTTATCACCAGTGAACGTGTCAACTGAGTCATATGAGGAACATCTAAAATGGGCTTTTAAGAAGTTGAAAAGTTTGCTTCCCTTGATCAGTAGTGCAGGAAGGGAACAAACAGGCATTCAATGACTAACAGGTAAGAACTCTTTCCTATAGTCTCAGGACAACTGAAAAAAAGCCCTGAATGAATGAGTCAAGGAGAAAAAAAATAGTGCCAATATAAAAGAGAATCGTTTCTTTTCTTCTTGTATCTACAAAGACTCTCTTTTTGTCTGCAGATTCTTACTAGTGCAACAATCCAGAGACTAGAGGATGCTATGCCAAGGATTAACGCAAAACTTGAAGAATTGCCTTAAGTATCTAATTATGGTTTTATAAAGTCTCCATCTCGATTACCAGAGGTTTAGGTCATTTGTAAAATTGTGAAATAGGGACAGTTTGTAACAACTTCCCTCCTTCCTTTCTTGTGTTTGCTCTTGTAGCCCTGTCCCTTCCTCGCTCATGTCCCTTCTTGTCATATCCCCTCTGTGCACCTCCAGGTTCTCTGCTTCCTTCACCAGAACATCTCTGCTTTCTCAAGGATGCACTAAGTGATTAGTTTGATAATCTGCCCAGCAAAGTTTTGAAACCCTCCATTTGTATTTCATGGCATGGTTGCTTATGGACCACTGGAATTTTGGTTTAAAAAAAGGCAAAAACATTAAAGCATATCTTTCAAGTGAATTCTATTTTGTGATGTGGTTGTTGACTTTCATTATAAAATTAGAGATCTGTTATCCTGGAAGTAATTTTAGTGTCTGGATAAGGCTCTTAATGCAGCAGCTGTTCAAATCACATATTTAAGTAAACTAATATAGGTAAAAATATGAATGTTTTCAAAAATATTAATAATTTCCAAAACATTAAGAAAATACCATACAATAATAACTGAAAATAAGATGACTCAAGTACAGTTCTGTAAAGTACCTGAAGTTTGGCACTTTTCACACATTGTTCACATGGTTGTGGTAATTCACGTATCTTTACCCTTAAAAAGGTATAGCAATTTACTTCACTTTCTCCCAGCTTGAAATGACCTTAAACTTTTAAGCTCATTTTCTGTATAAAAGCATGCACCTTTCTGAGCACGAGATTTCTCTCTGCCTTGTGACTGGAGCCTTACCCCCAGAAGATCTGAGCAGCATCCTGCTCCCATTAGATGAGAGAGACGTTGGGTTTGACCTCTTCATGGGGGATCTGGCTGTCCAGATGAGAGACCTCTGAGGATATATCTTCTCCTCCACAGGCCCAACTCATAGGAAAAAGGAATACTCCTTTCCAGTCATCTTGGGGCAAGAGGCATCTGGAGTTGTGACAAGTACACTCTGATCCAAATCTGAGGCTGCCTTTTTTTTTCTTTTCATGAATAGACAAAAAATATCATCTTTCTCTAGTTGCCTCCTGATAACCTCTCAGGACCCTGACATAAGATTATGACCATCAGATGTCATCACAAAATGTCCTAAATTCAGAGTGCGCCATTCCTTTTGCAACATAATTCCAAAGCTGCACCATCATCTGACTAAAGTAGACCGTAGTGATACTGACAACTCCCTGTCTGCTTTGTGGAAACACAAGATTCTCATATTCCTGCCAAATATTTGGGGCAGCTGTTGGAAGGCACTTATTCCCCACTCTTGAAGTTTCCCGGTAGAGGACATCCATTCGTGCTGCCTCACTCTCTCCTTCTCTGGAAGGTAGTATCTTGTCTGAGTAGGGAGCTTGGGATACTGAACTGGGCACTTACAGCTCACCTCCTCCCTCTTTTTTATTGGGGTCTGCTTGCTGGCACAAGGCATGTGCTTTTTAGGCTGCTCTTGATCCTGAGGTAAATGATGAAGGCTTTGTCATTGCAGGAGAGCAGGGGCCTGTGGTTTCCCAGCACTGCCTTTAATGGAAATAAACCTGTTTAATCCTGTGGTTAAGTATTGGATATCTTTCTTCTCATGTTTCTACCCCTTCTCCCATTGCTCTATCAATAATGAGGCTGACGTCTTGCTCTCCACTTGTCTGGTTCCATTTTCTATCTCAAATGGTTCAGAATTCTAATGGAAAACAAGAGTGTAAATGCATTGACTTCCTGATGTGACAGCAGTCTCCAGAAGGAGTGGGCTCCATGAACTGTTCTCTTGGCTCCCACAAGGTAGCTTCCATTTTCCTCCCTCCATCTCAGTGGTGAATTCTTCAGTGCCCATAAATATCAAAAACAGCTGTGATGCCCCCAGTGCCACAAAGCTCTAACTAAAGGTGCTGCTCCTGCTGTTGATGTGGGAATCAAAGTTATAAATGCCTAAAGGTGAGGACACTTCTGTCTATACAGAGGGCCCTCTCCATTGCTCCTGGTGGTGCTACCTCCTGTTATCACCAAAGCTGCTGGTGCCTTGGGCTCTCAATGTCCCATAGGATTTTGACTGATGAGCTCCATATATCCTTCATCCTAGGGCCCAGGCATGAGGACATGGGGACCAGACTGAAGGACAACCTGAGAGAAAGACTCAGTGCTGTACAGCAAAGTACACAAATCTTAAGTGTACAGCTTGATGAATTTTGTATGAATACACCAGTGTAACCACCACCCAGATCAAAATATACAACATTTTCAGCACTCCGGGAGATTTTCTCATGCTTCCTCCTAGCTCAAACCTCCCCTCACCCAAAGGTAATCATGATCCTCATTTCTATCACTAAGGATTAGTTTTACCTGTTCTTAAATTTGATGTAAATGGAATAATAAAATATTTACTCTCTTGTGTCTTTTTTGTGAGAATCATCCATGTTGTTGCATGCAGTTGGATCTTGTTCTTTTTCATTGCCTTATAGCATTCCATTGTATGCAAATACCACCATTTATATATTCATTCTGTTGCTTTTATTGTTAAAAAATATGTCTTTTGATAGGCGTATGTATTTTTTGTGTTTTGTTTTAATAGATTTTGTCTTTTAGAGCAGTATTAGGTTCACAGCAAAACTGAGCAAAGGTACAAAGATTTCCCACATGGCCCCTGTCCCTACATATGCACAGCCTTCCTACTGTCAACATCCCCCATTAGAGTGGTACATTTGTTACAATCAGTGAACCTACACTGACATATCATTATCACCCAAAGTCCATAGTTTACATTAGGGTTTACTCTTGCTGTTGTACATTCTATGGATTTTTAAAAATGTAGAATGACATGTATCCACCATTATAATATTATACAGAATAATTTTATTGCCCTAAAAGTCTTCTGTGTTCTGCCTATTCATCGCTCCCTCCTCTCTAATCCTTGGCAACCCCTGATTCTTTTACTGTCTCCTTACTTTTGCTCTTTCCAGAATGTCCTATGGTTGGAATCATACAGTATGTAGCCTTTTCAGATTAGCTTCTTTTACTTAGTAATATGCATTTAAGTTTCCTCCATGTTTTTTCCTGGCTTGATAGCTCATTTCTTTTTAGCACCGAATAATATCCCATTGTCTGGATGTACCACAGTTTACTTATCCATTTACCTACTGAAGGACATCTTGGTTACTTTTAAGTTTTGGCAGTTATGAATAAAGCTGCTATAAACATCTGTGTACAAGTTTTTGTGTGGATGTACGTTTTCAACTGCTTTGGGTACATCCTAAAAAGTACAATAGCTGGGTTGTATGGTAAGAGTTTTAGTTTTGTAAGAAACTGCCAACTGTCTTCCAAAACAGCTGTGCCCTTTTGCATTCCTACCAGCAGTGAATGAGAGTTCCTGTTGCTCCACGTCCTTGTCAACATTTGGTTTTGTCAGTGTTCTGGATTTTGGCCATTCTAATAGGTGTGTAGTGGCATCTCATTGTTGTTTTAATTTGCATTTTCCTAATGATATAGAGTGGGGAACATCTTTTCATGTGCTTATTTGCCATCTGTATATGTTCTTTATTAAGTGTCTGTTCAGATCTTTGGCCCATGTTTTAATTGGGTTCTTTGTTTCCTTATTGTTGAGTTTTGAGAGTTTGTTGTATATTTTGGATAATAGTCCTTTATCAGATCTGTCTTTTGCCATTACTTTCTCACAGTCTATGGCTTGTCTCCTCATTCTCTTAAGAGTGTCTTTTGGAGAGGAGAAATTTTTAATTTTGATGAAGCCCATCTTATCAATTCTTTTTTTCATGGATTGTGCCCTTGGTGTCGTATCTAAAAAGTCATCACCATACCCAAGGTCACCTAGATGTTCTCCTATGTTATCTTCTAGGAACTTTATAATTTTGCATTTTAAATTTCGTTCTATGATCCATTTGAGTTAGTTTTTGTGAAGGGTATAAAGGCTGTGTCTAGATTCATGTTTTTGCATGTGGATGTCTGGTTGTTCTAGCACCATTTGTTGAAAAGACTGTCATTTCTCCATTGTACTGCCTTTGCTCCTTTGTCAAAGATCAGTTGACTATATTTGTGTGGGACTCTTTCTGGGGTTTCTATTCTGTTCCATTGATCTATTTGTGTATTCTATTTGCATATTCACCAATGCCACACTTGATTACTGTAGCTTTATAGTAAGTCTTCAAATCAGGTAGTGTCAGTTCCATGACTTTGTTCTTCTTCTTCAATATTTTATTGGCTATTTTGGATGTTTCACCTCTCATAAAAACTTTAGAATCAGTTTGTTGATATCCACAAAATAATTTGCCAGAATTTGATTAGTATTGTTTTGAACCTATAGATGGAGTTGGGAAGAACTGACATCTTGATGATATTGAATCTTCCTATCCGTAAACATGGGAGATTTCTCTATTGTTTAGTTCTTCTTTGATTTCTTTCATCAGAGTTTTGTAGTTTTTCTCATATAGATCATGTATGTATATATTAGATTTATATTTAAATATTTCATTTTGGGGTGCTAATGTAAATTTTGTTGTGTTTTTAATTTCAAATTCAACTTGTTCATTGCTGATGTATAGGAAAGTGATTGATTTTTGTATATTAACCTTGTATCCTGTAACCTTGCTATAATTACTTATTAGTTCTAGGAGTATTTTTGTTGCTTCTTTCAGATTTTCTGCATAGCAATCATATTGTCTGCTAACAAAGACAGTTTTATTTCTTCCTTCCCAACTTGTATGTCTTATATTTCCTTTTCTTTTCTTATTGCATTAGCTAGTACTTCCAGCATAATGTTGAAAAGGAGTGGTAAGAGAGGATATGCTTGCCATGGTCCTGATTTTAACAGGAGTTTCTAGTTTTTCACTGTTAAGTATGATGTTAGCTGTAGATTTTGTTTTAGATATTCTTTATCAACCAAGGGAAGTTATCCTCTGTTCTTAGTTTGCTGAGAGTTTTCATCATGAATCTGTGCTGGATTTTGCCAAGTGCTTTATCTGCATCTACTGATATGATCATGTGATTTTTCTTCTTTAGCCTGTTGATGTGATGGATTACATTAATTGATTTTTGAATGTGGAAACAGCTTTGTATACCTGGGATAAATCCCACTTAATTGTGATGTATAATTCCTTTTATAAATTGTTGGATTTGCTTTTTTAATAATTTGTTGATGATGTTGTATCTATGTCCATGAGGGATATTGATCTGTAGTTTTCTTTTCTTGTAATGTCTTTGTCTGCTTTTGGTGTTAGTGTGATGCTAGCCTCATAAAATAAGTTAGGAAGTAGTCCTTCCACTTCTGCATTCTAGAAAAGATTGCAGAGAATTGGTATAATTTCTTCCTTAAATGTGTAGTAGAATTCACCAGTGAACACATCTGGGCCTGGTGCTTTCTGTTTTGGAAGGTTATTAATTATTCATTCAATGTATTTAATAGATATACACCTATTCAGGTAGTCTATTTCTTCATGTGTATGTTTTAAAAGATTGTGTCTTACAAGAAATTGGTTCGTTTTATCTAGGTTACCAAATTTGTAGGCATAGAGTTGCTCGTAATATTTTTTATTATTCTTTTAATTTCTGTGGGATCGGTAGTTATGTCTTCTCTTTTATTTCTGGTATTAGTAATTTGTATCCTGTCTCTCTTTTTCTTGGTTAGGCCAGTTAGAGGCTAATCAATTCATTGATCTTTTCAAAGAACCAGATTGATTTTTCTGTATTGATTTCCTGTTTAAATTTATTTGATTTCTGCTGTAAATTTTTATGACCTCTTTTCTTCTGCTTATTTTGGATTTAATTTGCTCTTCTTTTTCTAGTTTCCTAAGTGAAAGCTTAGATTATTGATTTTAGATCTTTCTTTTCTTCTAATATATGCATTCAATGCTATAAATTTCCCTCTAAGCACTGCTTTTGCTGAATCACACAAATTTTAATAAGTTGTATTTTCATTTTATTTTATTTAAAATTATTTATTAATTTCTTTTGAGATTTCTTCTTTGACCTATATTTTATTTAGAAGCGTGTTGTTTAATCTCCACGTACTTTGGAATTTTCCAGCTATCTTTCTATTATTGATTTTTAGTTTAATTCTACTGTGGTCTGAGAGCAGACATTATATGATTTCTCTTCCTTTAAACTTATTAGGTGTATTTTCTATCCCATAATGTGGTCTGTCTGGATGAATGCTCCACGTAAGCTTAAGAATTTGTGTTCTGCTCTTGTTGGACAAAGTACAGGCTTACCTCGGAGATACTGCAGGTTCAATTCCCAACCACTGCAATAAAGCATATCGCAATAAAGCAAGTCTCATAAATTTTTTGGTTTTCTAGTGCGTATGAAAGTTATATTTGCACTATACTGTAGTCTGTGAAGTGTGCAATAGCATTATGTCTGAAAAAAACAATGTACATACTTTAATTAAAAAATACTTTATTGCTAAAAATGCTAACTATCATCTGAGCCTTCAGTGAGTCATAATCTTTTTGCTGGTGGAAGGTCTTACCTCAATCTTTATGGCTGCTGGCTGATCGGGGTGCTGGTAACTGAAAGTTGGGGAGGCTGGGGCAATTTCTTAAAATCAGATGACAATAAAGTTTGCCACATCGATTGACTCTTCCTTTCACAAATGGCTTCTCTGTAGTTTGATAGCATTTTACCCACAGTAGAACTTCCTTCAAAATTGTAGTCAATCCTCTCCAACCCTGCCACTGATTTATCAACTAAGTTTATGTAACATTCTAAATCTTTTCTTGTCATTTCAGCAATCTTCATGAGGAGTACATTCCATCTCAAGAAACCACTTTCTTTGCTCATCTATAAGAAGCAACTCCACATCCATTAGTTTTATCATGATATTGCAGCAATTCAGTCTCATCTTCAGGCTCCACTTCTAATTCTAATTCTCTTGCTATTTTCACATCTTCAGTTAATTTCTCCACTGAAGTCTTGAACCCCTCAAAGTCATCCATAATGATTGCAATCAGCTTCTTCTAAATTCCTGTTAATGTTGATATTTTGACCTCTTTCCCTGAACACAAATGTTCTTAATGGCACCTAGAATGGTGACTTCATTCCAAAAGGTTTTCAATTGATTTTGCCCAGATCCATCAGATGAATCACCATCTATGGCAGCTATAGCCTTACAAAATATATTTTTAGAATAATAAGGCTTGAAATTCAAAATTACTCCTGAATCCATGGGATAGAATGGATGTTGTGTTAGCAGGCGTGAAAACAGCATTAATCTCATTGTACATCTCCATCAGAGCTCTTGAGTGATCAGGTGCATTGTCACAAGCAGTAATATTTTGACAGAAATCTTTTTTCTGAGCAATAGGTCTCGACAGTGGGCTTAAGACATTTAGTAAACCATGTTGTAAACATATGTGCTGTCATCCAAGCTTTGTGCTTCCATCTATAGAGCACAAGCAGAGTAGATTTACCATAATTCTTATGAGCATTGGCTTCAACTTGAAGTCACCAGCTGCATTAGCCCTGAATGAGAGAGTCAGCCTGTCCTTTGAAGCTTTGAAGCCAGCTATTGACTTCTCCTCTCTAGCTATGAAAGTCCTACATGGCATCTTTTTCCAATAGAAGGCTGTTTCATCTACATTGAAAATCTGTTCAGTGTAGCCACGTGCATTAATGATCTTGGCTAGATCTTCTGGAGAACTTGCTGCAGCTTCTACATCAGCACTTGCTGCTTCACCCTGCACTTTTATATTATGGAGATGGCTTCTTTCCTTAAACCTCATGAACCAACCTCTGCCAGCTTCAAACTTTTGTTCTGTAGCTTCTTCACCTCTCTCAGCCTTCACAGAATTGAAGACAGTGAGGGCCTTGCTCTGGATTAGGCTTTGGCTGAAGGGAATGTTGTGGCTGGTTTGATCTTCAATCCAGACCACTAACATTTTCTCCATATCACCAATAAGACTGTTTCACTTTCTTATCATTCATGTGTTCACTGGACTAACACTTTTAATTTCCTTCAAGAACTGTTTCTTTGCATTCACTAGTTGGCTGACCATTTGGTGCAAGAGGCCTAAACTTTCAGCCTATCTTGACTTTTGATATGCCTTTCTCACTAAGCTAAATCATTTCTAGTTTTTGATTTAAAGTGAGAGATGTACAACTCTTCTTTTCTCTTGAACACTTAGAGGCTATTGTAGGGTTATTAGTTGGTCTAATTCAGTACTGTTGTGTCTCAGGGAAAAGGGAGGCCTGAGGAGAGGAAGCAAGATGGGGGACCAGCTGGGCCATGAAGCAGTCAGAACACACACAACATTTATCAATTAAGTTTGATGGGTTTATATGGGCACAGTTTGTGGTGCCTAAAACAATTACAATAGTAATATCTGATTACAGATCACCATAAGAAATATAATAATGAAAATTTGAAATATCACTAGAAATACCAAAATGTGACACAGGGACACAAAGTCAGCAAATGCTGTTGGAAAAATGGCTCTGATAGACACGCTCAATGCAGGGTTGCCACAAAACTTCAATTTATAAAAAAATGCAATTATCTATGAAGTGCAATAAAGTGAAGCATGATAAAAGGAGGTAGGGCTGTGGTCTATAGATGTTAATTATGTACATTTGATTGATGGTTCTTTGAGTTCAACTACGTCCTTACTGATTTTCTGCCTGCTAGATCTGTCCATTTCTAAATGAAGGGTGTTGAAGTCACCAACTATAATAACGGGTTCTTCTATTTCTCCTTGCATTTTTATCAGTTTTTTGCCCCATGTATTTTGAAGCTCTGTTGTTAGGCACATGCACATTAAGGATTGTTATGTCTTCTTGGAGAATTAACTCCTTTATCATTATGGAATGCCCCTCTGTATTCCTGGTAACCTTCCTTGCTCTGAAATCTGCTCTATCTGAAATTAATATATCTATTCCTGCTTTCTTTTGGTTAGTGTTAGTAGCCTGGTGTATCTTTCTCCATTCATTTGCTTTTCATGTATATATGTCTTTATATTTAAAGTGGATTTTTTTAGACAATATATAGTTGTTTTGTTTTTTGATCCACTCGGACAATCTCTCTTTTAATAGTATATTTAGACCATTGATGTTTAAGGTGATTATTGATATAATTGGATTAATATCTACCATATTTGTTACTGTTTTCAATTTGTTGCCTTTGTTCTTTGTTCTTATTTTTTTATTGAGGTATAATTGACATATAATGTATGTTAGTTTCAGATGTACAACATAATGATTCAGTATTTGTATCTATTGTGAAGTGATCACCACAATAAGTCTAGTTAACATCTGTCTCCATACAACGTTACAAAATTTTTTTCTTGTGATGAAGACTTTTAAGGTTTACTCTCTTAGTAACGTTCACTTTCTTCCCATCTTTAAATTCCATTCTTTTTCTGCCTTTTGTGTTTTAATTGACCATTTTATATGATTCCATTTTCTCTCCTTTCTTAGCATATTGATTATACTTCTTTTTTTACTTTTTTTAGTGGTTGCCTTAGAGTTTGCAATATACATTTACAACTAATCCAAGTCCACTTTCAAATAACACTGTACCACTCCAGGGGTAGTGCAAGTACCTTGTAATAACAAAATAGTCCTATTTCCTCAATCCCATTACTGGTATCATTGCTGTCACTTATTTCATATATACCTAAGCATACATAAGTATGTGTCTACATTTATATAAGTAAGCAGATATTATCAACTACGTTGTTGCTATTACTATTTTGAATAAACTGTTATCTGTTAAATCAATTAAGAATAAGAAAATAAAATTTTTTATTTGACCTTTATGTATTCCTTCTCCAGTGTTTTCCCTTACTTTATGTAGATTCCAGTTTTTAACACGTATCATTTTTCTTCTCTCTGAAGAACTTGTTTTAACATTTCTTGCAAGAAAGGTCTACTGGCAACAAAGTCCATAAATTTTTTTGTCTGAGGAAGTCTATTTCTCTTTCACTTCTGAAGGATGATTTTTCAGGATACAGAATTCTGAGTTGGTGGATTTTTTTTCTCTCAACACATCAAATATTTCACTCCACTCTCTTCTTGTTTGCATGTTTTCTGATAGAAATCTGATGTAATTCTTACCCTTGTTCCTTTATGAATAAGGCATATTTTTCCTCTGGCTTCTTTCAGGATGTTTTCTTTATCTTTGATTTTCTGAAGTTTAAATATGGTTTGCCTAGTTGTTGTTTTTTGGCATTTAGCCTGCTTAGTGTTCTCTGAGCTTCCTGTACCTGTGGTTTGGTGTCTGACCTTAATTTGGGGAAATTCTCAGTCATTTTTTCTTCCAGTATTTCTTCTTTCTTTCTTCTCATTCTTGTGTTCCCATTGTGCATATGTTAATGCCTTTTGTAGTTGTCCCACAGTTCTTGGATATTCTGTTTCTTTTTTTTTCCATCTTTTTTCTCTTTATTTCTCAGTTTTGGAAGTTTCTATCAGCATATCCTCAAGTGCAGAGATTCTTTCTTCTGTCACGTCAGTCTCCTAATGAGCCCATCAAAGGCATTCTTCATTTCTATTACAGTGTTTTTTTGATCTTTAGCATTCCTTTTTGGCTGTTGGGATTTTCATCTGTCTGCTTACATTACCCATCTGTTCTTCTGTGTTGTCTACTTTTTTCCATTAGATCCCTGTGATATTGTGATATAATAAGAAATACATTGTTTTCTTGATCTCTGGTTCCTGGCATAGAGCTTCTAAAATTCTTGTAAATTCTTGAGTGATAGGGGTGATAGGAATGTCTTTTGTTATCCATAATAAGCCCCTTTCAACCACACAGGAGTTTATGCTAATAAGATGACTCTTGGAGGATGGGTGTGGTTGCCAGAGGAACCAACCATGTGATTAGAGGGTTGGAACCGTCAGACCCACACCTCCAGTGAGGGGGGAGCAGTAAGAAGTCTTCCATGATTACTACACCCTCTCCCACCATAAATTCCTCTTATAAATGTGGATATACAGTTCCATCACTGAACATATCTAATTATATTTTAATTGTCTTTTTATTTGTCTACCTTCTCCACCACTCTAAAAGCTTCTTGAGGCTGGGATGATGTTTTATCTATTTTTGCTGGAGATTCAGTTAATCACCAGTGGTCAGTGGTTTAATCAATCATGTCTACCTAGTGGAACCTCCCTAAAATCCCTAAGCAGTGGGGCTTGAAGAGCTTCCATGTTGGTGAAGGCATCCACATGCTGGCAGTGTGGCACGCTGCAGCGTGTCTCTGTGGGGACAGAAGCTCCTGTGCTTAGACTCTCTGAACCCAGCCTAGGTACATCTTCATCTAGTTGTTAATTTGTATCCTTTAAAATAAACTGGTAAATCTAAGTAGTGTTTCCCTGAGTTCTGTGTGTCATTATTGATTGAAGAGAGAGTTGTGGGGACTCCTGATTTGTAGCCGGGTGGGACAACCTGGACACCCACTACTTGCAACTGGCATCTGAAGTAGGGAACAGGCTTGTGGGATTGAGCCTTAACCCATGGGGTCTGTGCTAACTCTAGGTAATTAGTGTCAGAATTGAATTAAATTGTAGCACACCCAGTGGGTGTCTGCAGGGAACTGGAGAATTACTCAGTGTGGAAAACTCACACATTTGATTTCAGAAGTATTATGAGTACAGAAACAATTTTCCTTTAATCCCTTGGCATGTTAATCACAGATGTTTTAAATTCAGGGTCTGATAATTCCAACATCCCTGTCATAGGTAAATCTGGTTCTGATGTTTGTGTGGGCGATCAGAATTGGCCACCCCAAAATATGTCTCGTTGGCTTGATTATTTTTAGGAACAAAAGACTCTAAAGAAACTTTGACTTTCCCACAACTGCCTAAAAGAATTTAAAATAGAAGGCCTGTTCTAGGAAGGAGCTAATAGTGTAAGATAACTGTAATGTAATGTGAAACATGTCTCTCAGGTCACATTGTCTATAATTGGTCCATCTGCATTTCCATCTCCATGTGAATTGCCTTCCTCCCCCTTGAAGTCCCAAACCACTGCCCTCAACATCCTCCTTTGTCTTTAGCTAAAAATAGCATTTAAGGTGGCAGCACAGGCATTTTGGTGAGCTACCCAGTTTTCCTGGGTTTCTCCCATGTATACATGTTATAAAGCTTTGATTTTCTCCTGTTACTCTGTCTCATGTCAATTTAATTCATAGACCAACCAGAAGGACCTGGAAGTTAGGGGAATTGTCCTCCTCCCCTACGCTTGCTTTGTCTCTTCAAACTGTGTTTTTGCTTTTTGGTATGTGTTGTAATTTTTTCTTAATAGCTAGACATGATATACAGGGTAGATTGGCCTTTAGTGGTATGGTGTCAGAGGAAGGGAAGCATTCTACAGTGCTATGACTAGGTCTCGGTCGTTTAGTGAGGCTGTGTCCCTGGGCTGTGAGCTTCACCAGTGCTTCTCAGTTATTTCTTCCTCCTGAGGTGGGACAGGATAGCTAGAGTGAGCTGGAGTTGGATATTTTCCTTCCCCCAAGTCAATTAGGCTCTGATAAAACCCAATAGCTTAGGCTCTGTAAAACAATTTGTCTTCAGGACAGGGCTTGTTAATAACAGAATGCTCTGGCTTATTTCAAAATAGTTCCTTTCCCCCTCTTTTTGGCTAGAAGCATGAGGGTATTTTTCTCTAGTATTCACTGTGAGAACCTGTTAGAGCTTCTAGAGCTAAAACTCACATAAGTGTGCCCCCCTCTCCTTACTGGCCCCCACCAGAATTTTGACGTCTCAGACTTGTCCACCAGTCTGTCAGTTACAGTTCAGGTTTTCCTTCCTCGGTACTGGTTCCCACTAAGGTTCTGCTCATGGGTTTCAGCTCCAGTAAAAGTTGGGATTCTCTGTATTTGCTTGTTCGTTTCTCTAATTTTGGGGGCAGCACTTTGCCCTGTGACTTCACTTCTCTCATGCATCTAAGAAAAGTGGCTGGTTTTTCTGTTTGTTTAGCTTTCTACTTGTTGTCAGGATGGTGTGATGGCTTCCAAGCTCCTTATGCTCCAGACTGGAAACTGGGATGTGCATTTATTTTTGTCATCTAGTAATGGAATTTCTGGGTCATGCAATTTATGTTTGTTAATACTGCCAAAGAGTTTTCCAAAGTGGTTGTACCAATATATACTACCTTGAGCAATGTGTGAGTTCTAGTTGCTCCACATCCTCACCAGCTCTTGGACCTGCTCATCTTTTCATTTTAGCCCTTCTGCTGTGTGTGCAGTGGCATTTCACTGCGTGTGATGATTAATGCTGAGCACATTTTCATTTCATACTATGTTTAACTTCTATTTAAATCTCTTCACTTTGGATTTATCTGCAACTCTTCTTGCTTTCTGAGGTTGGCTCTGAGGTATTTGGCTTATATTTCCCTTTTTCTTTACACCCACTGCTATTTGCCTGCTCTACGCAGTGAAGCCTGCCCCACCTTCAGGGTATCAAAGCCTACCTCTTTCTGCTCCAATGACCTGTGAAGGTAGTCAAGAAAGAACTAAATGCCAACACTTTCTTCCTGCAATAACCCTCACCCTCCAACCTCCCACCAAGGCTCCTTGGATACCCATGTGAATAGACCCCTGGCAACCCAGCAAGTCTCTTGATATGTCTGATTATGCCAAAGTCTCATGGTGAGTGTGGTGCCCTCTCAAGCTGGGACTCTGCTACGCTTATGTAAATCAGAGTCATAATTAAAGAATTTCAAATTCTGATTCTGTGGATTTTTATTGAACAGGGAATACCAGACATAGAAATTAACTCCTCTTTGACATGGCTGTGGGTTTCTTCTAAAAGCCAGTTAGAATTTGCAGTTCATGAAGACCCCCAAAACCACAACTTAACTATTGACTGACTGTCATCAACTTTTGCCATAGAGCGCTGGTTACTGTGAAGCCAAAGTTTTGATAAAGGCCTTTTGACACTAGAAGTTGTCTTTCACTTTTGTGCTAATAAAAATATATCTTTGCCTAGGGATGATTTTAGTTTCAGGAAG